GGGACAGGACGAAATTCCCCTTACTCTAGTATAGTGTTTTGCCCAACAGAGGAGGGGAGCGTTAGGTGCAGTTAGTGCAGGGCGCGCTGGATCAGGATTCCTGGGTTCTATTCCGCTCTCTCACTACTCTGTTAAATGACTATGTAGACTCCAGTTTGGGGTGGGAGGGGTTGGTTAGTTTTGGTTTTAACTCTAAGGTGTCCACTAATTTTAGGTGTCTTGATTTGACACACTGATTTTCAGAGGCAGGCTGGAACTTAGAAACCCCAGCTGAAGTCAATGGGAGCTATCGGTGTTCAGCACCTTTGGACCCCCCCCCTGCCCCCAACAAAAAACAATCAACTCAGTTTGGGCATCAAAAGTATGGAGACATCCAAAGTTAGTGGAAACTTTTGAAGACGTGGGGCCTTTATCTCTCTGTTTCAGTTTGTCTATACAGAAGTGGGTTTAAAGCTCGCCTCCCCCAGTGGGGTGCTGTGGAGTTTATACCTGTAAGTGCTTAGAGATCATTTGACATACACCATTAGAGCAATGGGCCCTCTAACAATTTTTAACCTGCCTTTGAGGCATTCAGCGCTGGCCATTGAAACACAGGATACCAGACTAGATGGATCATTGATCTGTTCCAGTCTGGCAACTCTCTAGGCTCTTTACAGCTAACTGGATGCCATTCAAACTTCTGCCATTTCCATGCAAGCCCTGCAACGAAAACCTCTCTGAAAACCAGGCAAGGGGGAGATGGGCAGAGGATCCCAGGATGGTGACTTCCCACCAGACAGCAGCAAAGCGGCGGTGGGACAGAGCTTTAATACACCCACTCAGGAGCTCTCATATATTTTGTCACATCTGGCCAGTCCCCAGCCCTGGCACCATCTGCACAATCTGTCCATGGGGAGAGGCGAATAACAGGAGAACAGACATCAATTCTGCACCAGGTGGAAAATAAAACGGCCAGGTTTGACCCAATACACGAAACCAAACCAGGATCACGAAAGCAAATGTCAAAAGCAAGTGGTTCTCCAGCCCCTGACAAAAACAGACATGGATAACCGCTCATTTCTAAACCCTTACAGCTCTGCGGCTACAATAGTCTCAATGCCAAGAATGCTTCCTAGACCAGCATTAAACCATTAATAAATAGGAAATGGGGAGGGATGGGAGTGGGGAAGGAGGGCAAAAACAGCGTGGAGCATTTGGCTGCAAAGACACGTTTCCTTCTCCGTGTGTGTTAACTGGCCAGACTGTGGTTAGTTTTAGGCATTCAAGAGTATTTAAATAATGTCTTGGAAAGAATGAGCCATTGATCTCCGAGCACGGAGCATGAAATTAACCAGCAGAGGCGACCACTCAACAAAGAGGTTCCATTCAAATACGCAGTAGGGCCTGCTGGTCTGTGACTGAAACGCGTGCAGGGCCGGACCCCTTCCCAGACTGCACGTAGTGCCCCGTATCCATCAAAGCATGCAGGGAAAGGCAGAGAACCTGCACGGCTATAGAATGGCAGCTGCGGCCTCACACAGGAGCAGCATGGACTTCAGCGAGTGGAGAGCCACAGGGAGCTTCAAGCGATGGGCCTGCTGATGTCGGAGGGGCGCTGAACAATTGACTGATCAGGGAAAAGAAAAAAGCGACGGCAAGTTTTTAGACTGAACCTGACTGTTTTTACACAGCTTTCAACCTGAGGCAAAGCCACGTGTACCATTATTAATGCATTCAAGGTCAGACTGACCCTCTTTGCCAGTGCTAATGTGAGTTCTGAGAACTCCATTCTCAGCTGCCTCCTCCAAACCCATATCCTGTCCCCTCTCCCAAACTCACTCAGAGCCTGCTAATGGTGACGAGCCAGATATCACACATTTCTGGACATCGGCCCACACTCTGAGCCGCTTCAGTAATTATGAAGCTGCCACAGCCACCCCACAACTTTAATTAGTATTATAAGCCCAATTTTCAACCACTCTCCCAGATCCTCCCCCACTCCACTGCCTGTATTTTCCCCATGTCTGGTCTCGTCAGCAGGAGTGTCAGACAGACAGAGTTTCAGCGATTATGGAACAATTCTACAATGGAGTTGTCGTTTCCAGAAAGAAGTCCGAGCATGGTCAGTCTTAGAATTGCAAAGGCGACTTGTCCTTTTAAGAACTGCAGTTGAACACATCTGTCCTTGATGAGAGCTAGTGCAGGAGTTCCCAAACCATGGCCCCTGATGGCACATGATGTTCCACCAATTCACGTCACAACCATTTTTTAAACATGTGAACCAATGAAATCTTCGAACCACCAAGCGAGTGCATAGGTCTATTACCTTGCACCCGGATGTCCGTGGTAGGGGCTAGCTTGTAGCATGGGAATCCCCATCACGTGGGTAGGAAAATGTCTCCCATGGGGTGCCGGTGAAGCTACGGCAGGTGGGCAGAGCTGGAGCTGGCCATGTTCAGTCTGCCCATTGGGCTGGGGGTGGAGAGGGGCTGTGGCCCTCCCTTGAAAATCCAGGAGCACTTTGTGGGTTTCATGGGGGCAATGCCCTCCCCTTGACGCACCCCCCCCCCCCCGAGGCTGGAGATGAGGAGCAGCTGGGCACCACTGAAGGCAGGAAGCCCTTGTGGGACTCTGCCAGACCTGGGGGTTCATGGTCAGGGCTCAGAGGGACACAAAGGGGGGGAAGAAGGCTCATGGGGCACAGCAAGGAGAAGAGGCAGAGGGCATACAGATAGCTGCAGAGGGGTGAGGAGCAGCTGCTCCCTTATGGGCTCTCTGATCAAAAGGCTGCAGGGTTCTCCCCCGAGGCTCAGCCAGCTACACCAGCTGAGAGATAAGACTGTCCCCATCAGACCCCCAACCCCAGGTAGCAGCTCTGATTGGCCATCCTTTCCGATTCACCTGCCTTCAAGTCCCAGAGGAGAGCCAATCAGAGAAGACTTTCCCGCAGAGCAATAAAAGCGTCTGAGATGGCAGGTCTGCCTGAGCGAAAGGTCTTGCTGAAGACGGCCTAACTCTGGTTCGCTCTGTCTGCGTGTGAGGACTCTCGCTCGTGTACAGCCACGTTTCACCATACACACAGCACTGGGGTTAGGCCAGTACAGCGCCGGAACAAGGGCAAGGCGAGTCAGGCACTTGCCTCGGGCGCACAAAGCCGAGGGGCACAAAAAGTGGTGGAGGGGGAAAAAAAGCCATTGGCAGGCACAGAGATATTTATAGCCGGGGTGATCTCCACCCGGCCCCACCTGCCGCCTCCCCAGAGTGTCCCCTGGCCCTGACTTGCTCCCCCCCTTCCTGGACCTGGAGCAGAGCAGCTTCATGCTACCTCCCTGCAGCAACTACAGCTGCAGGGTCCTCGTGCCCCCCCCCCCATCGCCACTGCCAGGGCAGACGACTCTGAGCCTGCCCTTCCCCCTCAGACCCTTTCATTTTCCAATGGGACTCTCCATCAGCACAGCCGCCCCCCCGCCCCGTCCGCAGTCACCGCTCCTGCCCCATGCTGGGCAAGGAGGCAGCCCCATTCCTCACACCCAGGGAGGCTACAGTCAGGGACAACAGCAGGGGAGGAGGCGCACGCAGCGCCCCCCGGCACCAATCACGGGGGAGGCGAGGGAGATTCCTGGACCTGAGAGGGACCCTAGAAGCACATGCAGTGACAGTGGTGGGGGTGAGTGTGCTGCTAGGGGGGCAGGAATGGGGGGCTCCTCCCCCAGAGCTCGCTGCTGCCAGCAGGAAAAGGGCTGGGGGGAGTCCTCTTCTCTGGCCTGTCTCAGGGCAGCCTGCCTGCACCCCAAACTCATCCCCAGCCCTGCCCCACCCCAGAGCCCACACCCCCAGTCAGAGCTTTCACCCCCCCCCCCACACCGCACCCTCAACCCTCTGCCCGAGCTGGCCGCCAGTACATGGCAGCACGGCCCCCCGACACCTCTGCCTCCCTGCCTTGTTGCTCTCCAGAAACGTAGCTATCATTTAAAAGGGTGGGGGGGGGAGTCTCTAGCTGCTATGGTTTCTGAAATGGCCTCTCAAGTCCAAGCCCAGTGTAACTACTGCATCTGCAGGTCCTCAAATCAGCACTGGGAGGGGTGTCGCCTGCCCCATTTGTTTCGATACGGGCCAACGCCAATGACAACACATTAAATGTCAACACTAACTCTCTCTCTGTTCCAAGCAGGTCAGAAGAGAGGGTGGATCATATAAAGAAGGTGTGAGTGACAGCTCATGTGGGCAGAACTTATTTTGAGGGTAGAGCTTGGGAAAGCACCAACAATCTCTCTCTCTCACACACACACACACACACACACACACACACACGTCCATCCCTGCTTTCATGTACTCATAGCACTGTTAGAACCCTAGTGCATTCTGCAGACTGACTCCATATCCTGAAAACACCGGGGGGGGGGGGGGGGTGTCAGTTTACACTTAAATTGGCAAAAATCTAAGCCCAGCTCAGTTCCATTGGCTCCTTCTGGCATACCCCAGAGGCCTCAGCCTTGCCTTTTAACCCTGTCCCTGGAAAAGAGGTCACGAGCACCTAGAGAGTGAAGAAACAAAGCAAAAAACCAGAGGTAGGGTAATAAAATGGGTAAGTGCTAAGGAGAAAAAAAATCAAGAGAATTAGATTCGCCAGCAATTACAGCCATTCAGCGAGCAAGTGAAAGAAACAGCCTGTTGCCAACTAAACCAAGCCCCCGTGATTATCACCAACACAGCTGTTCCAAGGCCTGTCTGTTTCCATAACTCAAGGGAACAGCCCCAGAAATCTTCAAAACAAACAACAGAAAAACACAAACACCATAAGCGTGCAAATCGACGCAGCAATAAGTCACCGCTCCGCAGAGCCAGCCGAGCTCGGACAGCCGGTGTGGCCACTTCCTTGCAGCGCAGAGAGCCGGAAGGGGGAAAGCTCTTTGCCCACATGTTCACCAACTGGGGTCTTCATTCCCCCCAATTCCCTCCCCTTCCCCCCACCAAAAAAAAATAATCTTGTTATCTATGTGCTGCCGCATTCAAAAACTCACTGGACTGGACTTCTGGATCCCATTCCTGGCTCTGCTACTGGTCATGAGCAAGTGACTACATCCTTCTGCTTCTTCTCCCTCCCCTTTTGTCTGCCTTGGCTATTTAAGACCAGCAGCTCTGCGGGGCAGGGACTGTCTCATGCATTACAGGCCCCAGCACAACAGACCCCTGATCTCTGCTGGGGCCTCTAACTTCAACTGCAACACAGTTTGGCTGAGGAAAGGGAAAGAAGGGTGAGTTAGAAACCCACCCTGCTCTCCTCTATCCATAGCTCACTCTAAATTAGAAAATAGCTCACTGTCCAGGAATGCAGATTTGCAAGCATCTAGCCCCGACTTTAGGCAAAAGCCTTTCCACTCAATGTAAAATGTGTTTAAAATGCTAAACTTGTCACTGGACAGAATTTTTTAAAGCACACAACCAGGCAAACAATTCCTAAAAGAAAATCTAGATGATGTCATAACAGTATCATATTACAAACTGACAGTGGGCTGCAATGGGTCCTTAAGAGAAGCATATGTGATATGCAAGATGATGCAATCCCTTTCTACGGCGATCACTTGGGGAAAAAAAATGCCAGGCATCAATGAGATGGCCACTCTGTTCACGTGTGTCCTCTGGTCCATCTCTGCAGACTGGTTAAAATTAGAACTTTAAACTGTATAGATCTACCCCCCCCCCCACACACACACACACACCCACTCCAACATGTCAAACATCTCAACTGTACCTCCTTAATGAGCACCCCACGCAGTTCAGAGCAAAGTTTACCTCCACCCCACGCACTCCTGCTCTTATCTCCACAGCTTATTCCTGTGAATTATTGACAGGCGATGCAAGACCCTGAAGCAGTTTGTAAAAAAAGAAGTTCAAGACGCTGAAGATAAAGAGCATCACATCCTAAGCGTCTCTGTTCGGGGGAGGATTTGAGTGGGTTCTGGTCGGGGGGTCTGTCACTTTAACAAGTAAGAGAGCTGTGTAGGTGTGGTTTGAAGCAGAGAGACTTGGGTACCACACACCTTATGCTGTTACGCTAGTCCAGCTCCAGGGAGGGGCAAGGATCCCAAGCCAAGAACTGCACGTCTTTTTGAAGCAGTTTGATCTTATGCTGGTAGCATTTTGGTTAGTTTCTTTGAAGATCATTCCATCTGAGGGAGAGTCGGGCACAAGTTCAACAGCGGGAGTCAGAGCTGCTTCAGGGCAAGCAACTGCTGCTTCATTATTTATGAAGTCCCAACAATGTGGAAGGTGCAAAATAAAGACGGGCCCTTCCCAAAAGGCGACATTCTACAGCAAGGGGGCAGGGCATACCGGGAAGCCCAGAGAAGGGAGCCACTTTGGACAGCTCAATTTCTTGAGGGCCTCATGGCAACAGCCAAGCATTATTATTAATTTGCACTACAATAGCATCTAGGGGCCCCAAGCTAGATCAGGGCCCCATTGTGCTGGGTGCTGTACGAGCGCATGGCAAGGAACGGCCCCCCGCTGTGACCAGCTTGCAGGCTAAACAGACAAGACACAGGACGGGAGGGATAAGAGGAGAAAGTGACTTACCCAAGGCCCCCCAGAATGTCAGTGGCAGAGTCAATACTAGAACCCACCTCTCCAGAGTCCAAGTCCCTCATCAACCAGGCCACTCTGCCTCCTCACCTGAGGGCAGATGAGCTGGCTTGTTAAGAAGGGGTTCTTTCCTCTAGGTAGCTGGTTTAAATCCAGCTTAACCTGGGACTAACCCAGAAGCCACTGCTATCCGATTGACTTTTCGAGGCAGGTGGGAGACCCCGCCAGCAGGGGGAGCCCTGCTTCTAGAGGGCAACGCTGACATAAAACGCCTCTGTCTCAAGCAGCACCTTGCTAGCAGTCTCAGCAGAGGCATGAGACTGAGCGCCCCTCTACACACCGAAAGCCTGTCCCTACACAGCAGGGAGGATCCGGGGAGGGGAGGGAGCTCTTCTGCTACCTACTGTCCGTTACCTCAGGCACTCACAATGGGTTTGGCATTGTATGAAGGGCATAAATAAAGCAACTTCATGGCCTGCAGAGAAGTCACGGCTGCTTGGACCTCCGACTACAGAGCTGCTGGTCCTGAGGCGCTCTTCACTAGTACCCAGAGGCAGTGTGGCCTAGTGGATAGAGCACCTGATTGGGATTGAGATCTGGGATCTGTTCCCGGCTCTGCCACTGGCCTCCTGAGGGACATTGGGCAAGTCACTTCATCTCTTTTGTGCCTGTTGCCCCATCTGTAACACACAACCAGATCGACCGATGAAAAACACTATATCGGAGGCATGGCTTATTTCTGTCGCTCCTCTGCACAAAGTTTCAGGTATGGTTTTAACTCTGCTCCCTGCCTGTCCCACACCCAGTTTTCTAGGAGCGTAAAGATATGAGGAGCGCACAGCTCCAGTCCGGCTCAGCTCGAGCTGGGTGACATCGGTTAGATGATTTTGTGGGGAGGCAAATAAATGTTGACTCAGTGACACCAAAATGTTTCATGACTTGGAGGCAGTTTCACCAGAAATTGCTTGGGTCAAAAAACAAAACAAAAATGAAAAAATAAAAACATGTTTTATTTTATTGGTTCAAAATGACTCTGTTTTGATTTATCTTCACAGCTTATTAAAAACACGTAAAACCAAAAAGCTTGAAATTAAAACAAAACATTCAACCCAACGCGACTTTTCCCAATGGTTTGGAATCGCCAGCAAACCAAGCGATCCATTATTCGCCCAGCTCGCGTCTCTGCCTGTGCAGTTGCACCAGATGGTCTCCCAGCTGCAGCAGATCAAATCCGTGGTTCGGAAAGGCCAGCTACAGCAAAGACGCTGCACCCCGAGACAGCGGCACAAGAGAGTTCATCAACAGTGCAAGACAACCCCAGCTTGCAAGTCACTTGATATCCAAAAGGGCTCCCACCCACCGTACTCCACACACGTCCTAGTTAGAGGGTCTACTTCTGGGGGAAACCTGCTCCACTGCGCCATGCAGAATGTTGCAGAAATTAACGTTGTGCGCGCAGAATTTCCTTTCCCCCACAGAAATGGGCTGCAGGGCTGCTAGCCGCCACTGGACCTGGCAGAGCGCAGCTTGCACATAACAGACACTGCTGGGGGGATGGAGAGGGAGCTAGAGCAGTGGATCTCAAACTTTTGTACTGGTGACCCCTTTTCACACAGCAAGCCTCTGAGTGCAACCCCCTTATAAATTAAAAACACTTTTTTATATGTTTAACACCATTATAAATGCTGGAGGCAAAGCGGGGTTTGGGGTGGAGGCTGACAGCTTGCAACCCCCCATGTAATAACCTCAGGACCCCCTCAGGGGTCCTGACCCCCCGTTTGAGAACCCCTGAGCTAGAGGGTTCCTGGCAGCTGCAGCTCCCAACGTGCCCTGAGGGAAGGAGGTGGCATAGCAGGAAACTCCATGCAAGCCTGGGACTGAGCATCAGGCTGTTTCTCCCTCTGGATCCCTGGGCTCAGGGAGAGGTAGGGGGTGGGGAATGGGGGTAAAGGAGATGGGTGTTTGGGCAAGGTGGGGCCTCCCACAGCCGGGCTCTGGGGGAGAAGGGGGTGTGGGTATCTGGGCTGGGGGGGCATGGTTGGGCTCCAGGAGGGGAGAGGTTGTGAGTGTCTGGCTCCCTGGCTGGGCTCGAGGACAGGGGGCAAAGAAACAGGAACTGGGTTGTTATAGGGGTTTCTTTAACTCTCTACTGCTGGGGGGATTTTTGTGTGTGTCTGTATCATTACAGACCTACTTGCTGACAGATATTTTGAAATCAACTATCAAAGTAATCGAAACTGGCACGATTACATAGTGTTATTTTGACAAAACAACTGCAGAATTTTAAAACATTGTGTGTAGAATTTTTAACTGTTTGGCGCAGAATGCCCCCAGGAGCATACTGGATACATGCACACAGGTACAACAGACATTCACAAGCCTTTGTGTACAATGCAACCCCATCTACTGCCATGCCCATAGCGTGACACTGCAGGACCTTCAAGGAGACAAGAAGCGAGGCTGAATCGCTTACGCATTATAGGAACGTCTACACTGTACACTAAGCTCCATCTGTAGGTCCGGGGGCTTGTGGACTCTGTGTCGCCAAGAGCACGCTTGAGCGTCCACACTGCATTGCAAAGCTGGTTTTATAATTCCTGGACCCTGGTCTCACCGCTGTGCTAACGCATCCATCCTGCCCTTCTGACGCAGGTTTGTGGCTTGACCTGCACAACGACAGGGCTTGGACCTGACACCGCAGGACTTGGGCTCTGACCCACCCCTTGAGCAGGGTCCTAGGACCATGTCTGGAGACTTAGTCACAGCCTGGGCTCAGTGTGCAGTGGAGACATACCCTATGAGATCAGGGATGACAGCATGACCTGCCACTGGGCCTACCAACCTGCGGAGATCAGCATGAAATACATGAGCCCGACTCCTTATTCACTTAGGATAAAAAAATAATAATCAAAAAACAAAACAAAAAAGCAGTGGGCCAGAGGATGCCTCATTCCTTTTCCTCCAGAAAATCCGCCTCCACCAAAGCACGGCTCCAACAGCTTCTAGGAGAGCGGTTTTTCATCCTTTTAAATGTCAGCCGCCCTCCATTTTCTAATGGAACCTGACACTAACAGAGAAAAATGGACACATTAATATGGAGTTCATTAGTAAATAGATTATCCAAATATTTCAGGGTAGGGGAAGAAAACACACGCAGAGTCAGACTTAATTGCAGGAGCTTCTCTGGAGGGCCAGCAACTGATTAAATATTTATGGATTTTAATGCACTGATCTGTTAAGTCAGGAAACACTCCTTAAAAATAAAGGCCGAGATGCTGTCTTTGCAGACAATTCTTCAGCAGCAGCACAGGTGCAGCAGATCTGCAAGGCAGGAACTGCTCACCAATAGAAAACCCCATCTTCACTGCTTTCCCCTTCACCTCTTCTTGCAGGGAATATGGAGAACCTCAACTGGCAGAGTCAAATCCGGGGCACTGTGAATCCTGGAACAGATTTAACATAGGCACTTGCCAGTTACATTTCTCGTGTGAGGAATTTACTTTCGGGTGGCATTTTTATGAGGGGGAATTAAATGCCATTGGTTGATGAGACACAACTCCCCCGGTATTTCACACCAGCAACAAAAGTCTC